CCTCCTCCTGCAGCTCGTCCAGCTCGCTGCGGCCTGCAGAGGGCGCTGCAACAACATCATCAGCATTAATATATGAAACAGGTTTGCACGCCGGAGCAAAGTCGGCCTGCTGACATGCAGAGCTGAGAGCTCAACATCTGCAAGAACACGAAGACGTTCGTACCGAGGCTCCCCCTGCTGGACAAGCTGAGCTCCTGCAGCAAAGCGCCGCTGCTCTTCGAGCGGGCGTTCCTCCACGAGGGTCCTGAGGAGGAAGAGGACGACAAAGCCTTCCTCACCACACACTCCCTGAAGAGGAGAAACAGAGACACATTTAGCGTCAGGAGCTGAAGTTTCATATAACAGAGCCAATCCTGAGTTTATTCTGTTATACAGGTTCAGGGGCAGGGTCCAAAGGAGTCACTTAGCATGGCAGGAAAAGTTCATGAAAATGAAGAGTTGAACTGCTGCAGCAGGACGGGGTCGTAATCAGCTCCTAATCTGACAAACCAGCTGCAGAAACACAGCTACGGGGATCCTGCATGTTTTCTTTTATGTATTATTTGTTTTTACAGGATCTGATTGGTGCAAATGGTTTATTTTTGCCAGTTGTTTGAGTAAACAGGGCACATGGGCAGTTCAAGGACCACTGAAAAGGTGGGAATTTCCTGATTCTGCCACTTTTTACAGCTTTGTTCATACAGATGAGAAAATGTGCATTTTTAAATCTGCTGAAGAATTTTGATTTATTTTATATTTAAATTATTTTTATTGCATTGTTTTCTTTTTATTTAATGGAGTTCTTTTATTATTGTACCTTTTATTTCACTTTGTGTTTTTATTATCTCATCGTATGTTGTTTTTTACGTTGCTGTGTTCTCTTACACGCATCTCACGTTTGAACAGTGACTTCACGTAAGGTGCGATACGATCTGCCGACTGGAGTATTGATCGATTGATCGATTGATGACGGCCTTCTGGAGCTCACCTGTCTCCCAGGTTCAGGTCCAGGCTGACCGGGCTGCTGCTGTTCCTCTCGCTGCTCTCGTAGCCGCTCTCCATCCTCTGGATCAGCCTGGGCGGAGCAGCAGGAGGAGCAGCGGGAGACAGCACGGCTCCTCCCGCTCCTTCGTTCTCACCTCCCGGTCCAGCTACACCTCCTCTGTGGCTGCTGGAGAAGGAGGCGGGGAGAGTCCTGGAGGAGCCTGTCTGGACAGGCGTCACCGAGGAGGCGTCCTGAGCTCCACAGTCGTCGAGCAGCGCCGCTCCGAGGGGGCTGTACCCCGCCTGCCTCCGCCTCTCGCGGTTAAAGATGCTGTCGATGTTGAGCGCCTCCCTCCGGGGCCTCCAAGCCGGCCGGTACCTCCCTGTTCCCCCGGAGGAGCTGGACTTTGACTCGCTGCTGGTGCTGTCGGCCTCCCAGTCCTGAGCTTTCCCAGCGGAGGAGGAGGAGGAAGGAGCGGCGCTGCTGGCAGGGAGGTGGTGGTGATGGCTGCTGCTCGAGGAGGGGGCGATTTCAGAGGAGAAGCCGGCGGCCGGCAGAGAGGTGGAGGAGGAGGAGGAGACGGGTCGGCTGTGGATGATGTTGCTCATGGTCTCCTTGAAGTCTCGCAGGCGGCTGGTCGATGATGAGAAGGAAGACGAAGGTTTGGGAAGGTGACGAGGAACCTGCTGCTCCTTTAACGTCTCGCCTGAGGAGAAAAGCAGGAGTCAGAAAAGACGAGGAGGAGGAGGAGTAACCTTACCCCAGAGGAGAGTGAGCGAAGGAGGTGGATGAATGACTGGATGGGAAATAAAAACAGAATCAGCTGATCTACGCCCTGAGACTTGGCTCCGCCCACATACACTACACCTACACAGCTGGTGATGAAAAAATGCCACTAGATGGCGCCATGGCCCAGAAATCATCCCGCTGAGCTCAGCGAGCTGTGAAACTCGAGTGTTTGTCGCCGAGCGAGGGCTCATGATACTTTTAGACTCATTTCACATGTCAGGCAGTTCACAGAGCAAGTCTTTGGCCTAAGCCCCGCCTACCCTCACTGTGGTAACCAGCCGACGACGCTTCGTTCTCGGGTTTAGACCGCCGGTGGCGGCTAGCGCTCCGCCTCCTATCCCCGGCCACGCCTCCTTTCCTCGGAGGCTGATGCTGCTCGCCGTCCGTCGCGTGGCCTTAGCAACAAGAAGCAGGGCGACACATGTTCACAGCGTGACCGCCATGATAGGGAAAAGAAGCAGAATGCATGAATGCGATTGGCTGCATAGATGGGTCACATGACTGAGGCGGAGCAATGAATGTGAATGAATGTAACTGCAACACGTTCATTAAATCCTGTTTCACCGAGCGTCCAAAACACAAAGATGGAGAACGTTCGTCGTTTATTCTGGAAGGAAACACGAAACGTTTCCTGCTCATGTTTGACCAAAATATGGTTTAAGATTAAATTAAAGCCCAGTTTATGGTGGCGCTGGTTACCACAGGAGCACCAGCTGCTTCAAACTGAACACAGTGAAGAAAACTGGCTGTTGATGTGGGCATCTCTGCGAGGAAGAGACCCACGCTTCCATCTTTGAGTTTAGGACCGCTGGTGGACTCATGCTGGCAGACCGGTTCCCCCCTCGGACCCACCTACGGTATCCAGGCTGCAGAGCGAGGCGTGCAGGGCTCCGTCTGGGCGGTCGGTGCAGATGACGGTTCCCTGGGAGTCGGAGGAGTAGCGACTGGCCAGGGACTCATGGTGCGAGTGGGAGGGCTGTCGGTACGAGTAGCTCTCCGTCGACGAATCGGTGCGAGTGTCGCTGGAGATCGACGGCTCGCGGCCTGGGCGAGTGGGAGGCGAGGATGGAGGGAGGAGGTCAGTGGAGACGGACTCACACAAACAGCACAACAAGCCTAAACATTAACTACGTCTACTGCTCCTCCAGCTGCCGCCTGCCAGTAAAAGTGTTATTGGAGCGACCGAGGCTGGTTTAGTTACCTGAGTGTTTGCTGCTGTGCTACTACTACGACTCCTAGCTGTGTTGTAGTTACCCGAGTCTTCGCTGTCGTAACAGGCCTTGTTGAGGTGGTGGAGGTCGAGGCGCGAGGGCAGGTCGTGCGCAGACACCGGCGTCCCCCGCGGGTCGGCGTACAGCAGTAGCAGCGGCTGGTAGTGACCTTTGATGCAGCGCGAGACCACGTCGATCCACTTGGGCCCGATCTGCAGGACAACGACGACAACCAAGACATCAGTCACAAACCTGCAGACACACACACACACACAC